AGAGTGAGGCCCTGTCTCAAAAGCAAACAAAACAAAAACCATGGCTTTATCTTCATTGTTGTAGTTGGCTGCTGCCCTTCCAGGCATTGCACAGATGATCCCAGCAGCAAGAAGCAGAAAGGGCTGAAAAGCTCTTGGCGTATACCCGCCAGGTGTGCCCCACTCACTACGTTTTCAGGAAAGCCTCCACCCAGCAACTTCCACCTGTCATCATCAGCCCCAACTCTCATGGCTACTCCAAGTGCAAGGGAGTCTTGGGAAGGTGAGGTGGGCTTATTTCCATCTCAAACAAAATTGGGATTTAGTTAGAAAGGAGAAAATGAATGTTGGGTAGGCAACCAGCAATGCCTACCCAATATTAAATTAGACATTTTATGGAAAGTGCTAAGCACAGTGCCTAGCACATAGTTAACTGCCCAACAGAAGTTAAGCTATAAATACTACTGTTATAATTATTACTGTTGCTGTTATCCACCTTTCTTACTCTCTGGACAAGTGGAATACCTCATTATATCCATGTGTCCCGCAACATTTTTATGGCATCCATTGTCTGCATCTCCAACTCTCTCCCTGCTTGAAGGTCCAGGAAAATGTCATTGCATCCAAGAAGTTCTTCCTTACATCTATTCCTAATAATAAGTTTTACAATGGCAGAACCCACATCACATTAAAACTGTGCTTACCACTGCACTGAACATTGTCTCTTGGAACACAGTAGGTTCTAATAAACAGTGCCTTAATAATTTAAGTAATTCATGTGTATACACCAACCTGCTTTATAGCCAGTCCTCTAAAATCAAACATAGTATATGTTTGATCCTGAAATGCAGAAGTTAAGGACCAGGTTTATATGTCACACAGCTAATGCTGGGAGTGAAGGGATGAAAATTACATTCCCCAAGAAAAACAAAAAATTAGAAAATCTTCTAACCATAATTTTTCCATGCTGTGGGAATCTAGATGATAGTTCATCAACGATTCGCTCCCCTACGGTGAACAGAATCTACTTTTACACACAAGTGTTGGGCTTTCCCATGTGACTTGCTTTGTCCAAAATAGGTTGTCATTCGAAGTGACATTTGCCTGTGCCATTTGCCTCTTGGCTCCAGTGATCTGCTAGAAGAAGGGCGTGTGCCAAGTAGCTGCCATCCCTGCAGCCTGGGCCCCAGGACACATGTGGAGCAGACTGGAACCCACCCCACAGCTGCAGCACAGCCACCCCAAGGAGACCAGCCTCAACCAGCCAAATCATGGTCAACCCGAAGACCACTGAGTGTGAAAATAAATACCTGTTGCTGTAAGTCAGGGAGTTTTGCTACACTGCCAAAGCTCACTGATATATCTTAACATTTGATATATGTTAGCATGTTTTATATGTTCGTTCATTTTGTTCTCTTCCTTCACATAAGAAAGAACAGGCTGAAAAATCTCCATGTTTTGTACATCCAATGATTTCTACCTTTGGATCAACTTTTAAATTTATATGAGACCTACATTATCATGAATATTAGTAATTCATGTGTTTTCCATTCATCCTATCTTTCTAAACTAAGAAAAATCACAATAAAACATAAACAGCATAAACACTGCTGAAACTGAAACTGTTGGCTAGCAAGAAGGTGCCCCATGGACTAGCCAAAATGTTAACTGGTTAGATTTTAAAACAAAACAAAAAAAGGCTCGAGGATGTCCTAGTAAAACAAACAAATGCAGATTGTACAAAAGTCAACCTAACCAAAGTCAAAGACTCTGTAGGTAAATTTGTGGACTCCAACACCATTCACTATTTATCAGGATACCTGTTTTGCCAAACCTTCACCATTGAGTTTCACCAATAGAAAGAGGCTGATAAGGCTTATATCTTGTAGCTTTTCCAACATAATAAAGCAAGAGGGGCTGGACACTGTGGCTCACACCTGTAATGCCAGCATTTTGGGAAGCCAAGGCAGGTGGATCACCTGAGGTCAGGAGTTTGAGACCAGCTTGGCCAACATGGTGAAACCTCATCTCTACTAAAACTACAGAAATTAGCCAGGCATGGTGGCAGGTGCCTATAATCCCACTACTTGGGAGGCTAAGGCAGGAGAATTGCTTGTATCCAGGGGTGGTTGCAGTGAGCCGAGATTGTACCACTGCACTACAGCTTGGGTGACAGAGCAAGACACCATTTCAAAAATAAAATAAAATAAAACAAGAGAACCATGCTATTACAAAAGAATAACTTTAAATGTCATATCTAATCACTAATGGAAAGGGTCTCTGTAAATAACGAAGAAAATAAAACTCTAATCCCTTGGTGAGGAGACAAATTGAATGATGTTAAGAGCATTTATTCAACCAAGATCTATTTAGAACGCCAACTGGAAATTTAAGGTGTCAAGAAAAATGGAAGAGTGTGAATTTTGTTTTGTTTTACCTTCTGTTAGGTCATCAAGTTTGGAACTACATTTCTATGGAGCCAAAACTGATCTACTGGAAACATGTAGTAAAGAAAGTTACTAAATTTCCCTATTGGCCCATGCCACAGCCTTCAAATGGGAAGGCAAAACAGGTTGACAAAAGGACTGTCAGAATCACAGTGGGCTCTTAAAAGGGTTAGCTCTATGTATGTCGGGAGAACCCACACCTTCAGACTGGACACATGCAGACTACACAACCAAAATTTGAAGTCAAGGCCACGGCCAAGGTCATGGGCTCTCGGTAAGACAAACCTGAGCTCAGGTTCTTACTTTCATACTAAACTGTAGCAAGATACTTAATTCCTTCTAGTTACTCATCCATAATTTGGGCATAACAGTAGTACCTAAGTCACAGGGGCTCTACAAGGTTTAAAAAAGATAATGCATATAAAGTACCCATCAAAGTACTTGCATACGCAATAATGATGATGATGATAGTAATAGTAATAATACTACCTTAAAAACCTGGTTCTACATGAAAACCATCCTAACCAGTATATTCTGGCTCACAGTCTATTTATGAAATGCTTAATTCAGAGCATTATGTTCACATCCAGGTACAGCCTCTATAAAGTGACCATTCTTTGGATCAGTCAGTAATTTTGCTAATGAATTCAGGGAGAAGGGTGTTGAAAAATCAGCCTTTCACTAGCAGTGAGTTGAGAAGGATCTGGTCCTTCACCCATGATTTATCCACCCATGAAAAGTCTTGCTGGTAAAAACCATGACACCATCACCTTCCATTCCCCTCCCTGCTAAAACTGCAAAAGTATCTTATGAAAGCACAGAAGCAAACAGACAAGATGGCTTACGCGAGAAAAAGGCAAACTCTACTACTCCTTGGAAAGAAAACGGCTTGACCCCACCACCGCCGCCAGACTGACACTCTGCAAAAGAGAACAAGGCAGCCCTCACTTCCAGAAGTTAACTGTCAGAACTAAACGAATCCCTTCTATTCATGTGACTCCCCATAAAGAACGTTTGCCGGCTTCAAAAATATCTTACAAATCAATCCAGTAGAGCCAAGACCCAAGTACTGTATGCTGAGAAACAATGTGACTTTACAAGGACAAGAGTGACCATAGGAGACAAAGTGCCACACCCTTTTCCCGGACAGCTCTACGGTACACGGTATCTCTTATAAAGACTGCAATTCTGGAGAAATAGGTGGGCCATTCTAACACCCCCTCCCCCCATTCATTCTTTACACAGAGTCATTTCATTTTCGTTTTTAAGCCAATGGCCTCGGCATCCACAACTACTACAACTAATAATCAGGGGGTGGAGGGTAGGGGATGAGGAGGACAAGGAAACACAGGTCAAATATACTTGCTTCTAAAAGCCCATTTTCAAAGAGTTTTCTTCCCATTTGTCTGCCTCTCACAGCTGGATCCCCATACCTGGTGGAAACCAATGGTTAAGTAAAACCACTGATTTAAAGAGCCAACCAGGAAACTAACCATGACAAGTGGGAGCTGCCCTCCTCTCCCGAGCATTGATTGGCTCTTTGGGTTCCACCGGTCCCCATTCTAACCACTTAAGTGGCAGGTGTGGCTGTCAATCACAGAGGGAACTGACAATTCACTGCTCCGGGAGTAAATTGCCTTTCATCCAGCAAAGGCAGGTAGCAGCCTAAAATCGATCCACTCCTAAAAGAGCGGACCCTCCCTCTCGGGCAAGGAGAACCGAGACCCTTAAGTACGAAATAAATAAGGCAGGGCCGAAAGGAGAGTTTAAGAGCGCTATTTTATTACCCCGAGCCAAAGCAGCCCTTAATCTTCACTGTCCTAAGATGATCTTTCAAAGGCTCGTACGCTATTTTTTTAAATTAGGTACCCCTTCGTAAGTATCTCTTTTCTGTATAAGTAGGAGATGGGAAGGAGGAGGGAAGGAAATGATGCCGTTCAGTTCGATTTCACATTGTATTCCTTTTCATGCACCATCCCCTAGCCCTCCCCGATAAATCGGCTTCATTTTCCCTGACAAGGGTTTTTTAAAAAAACAAAAAAAAAAAAAACAAAAAACAAAAAAAAAAAAACCATGCTCCCCTCGGAGCCCACCCAGGCAGCCAGCCACCCCACCCCCTGGGCTGGGGCTCTACCTTTCTCCACTTTGTTCTGCTTGGGGTTGCTCAAGACCCCCGCCCCCGCGAACACCCCACCCCTCGAGGCAAGAGGGGACGCCAGGCAAAAGAGGGGGGTCTGAGAGAAGAAAGGCGGTGGCAGTGAGGGTGGCTGCCGGAGAGGGACTGCGGGAGGTGGCCCGGGCCGCCGGGACGAGCGAGCGGCGCCCGCGCGCCGGAGGAAACCGTGCACTTGTTCCAATCCGGGGGTTTATACATCAAGGCAAATCCTCCTTTAGGCCGCCCCATCCCTCCCCCCGCCCGAGAAAGCCCCGGAGGAGGCGGATGGTTCACCCCTAGGCTCCCCACGATAACGCATTGCAGCTCCCCACGAGCGAGGGGGACCGGCACGAGGGCTGCCCGGGCACGGGCGCCCAGAGGGAGCCGGGCACCAGGCGGCCCCGGCGTCGGCGTCTCACCTTTCCGCTGCTCGCCCTGGGGCCGTCCCACATGGATTTTTACAACCTCACGTCGCCTTGGCCCCGGGCGGCCGGGAGGAGCAGGAGCCGAAGCCGGAGCCGGAGACCGAGCGAGCCGGTGCGGGAGGAGGAGAAAGAGGAGGAGAAGCGGGGCGGGGAACGGGGAGGGAAGGAGGGAAGGAGGAGGACACCGCGCGGAGGGCCGGGGCCGGGCGCGGGGCCGGGCGGGGCCGGCGGCCGAGGGGGCGGCACCCGCCGCAGTCCCGAGACGCGCGCTCGCGCGGCGCTGCCAGCCGCTGCGCTCGGCGGGGCTCCCACCCGGCCGGCCCGCGCGCTCGCCCGCTCGCGGAGGCCCTGACTCACATTCCCAGCATTCCCGAGGAGCCGCTGGGGGGGCCGGGGCTGGGGCCCGGGCGCCTCCGCGGGGGGCAGCAGAGAGCGCCCGGCCTGGGCGGGGGTCTTCGCAGCGCCTCCTCCCTGCAGGCCGCGGCGCGAAACACCTGGCCCCCATCTTCTGTCCCCGACGCCCCTTCCCAGGTACCCCCTTCCAAAAGCTGCCAGGCACTCCCAGAACTTGTCAGGTGGCTTTGGCGACAGGGGCAAGGATGGCACTTATCTTTTAAGTTAAGCGTAAGAGTGTTGGGTGGGGGGGGGGGGGTCGTGGTTACCATACCCTGGCACCGCCCATCAGCTTTCCTGTTCCTTAGGAGGTTGAAAGGATTTCATAAAATCTTTATCGTGCTCCCAAAGAAAGGATAGAATGAAAGATAAAGACGGGAACAAGAGAAATATCATATCCATCATATTCATTGAGTGTCTCTTCTGTGCCCTGAAATGTGCTTGCATTGTCCCAATGTGAGGTAGAAAGATGATGTCTGAGTTGATAAACACACACGCCTCAAGGTAATGAGCAAGAGGATTTAGACAAGTTTTTCATTGGAAAAAGCTTCAACTCAACAAGTCTGGGGCCCCAGCTGCTGCCATTTTATATTAGGGAGGATAGTGGGATAGCCACGGGCGTCTTTAAACTTGGTCTCTTTCACTGAGTAGTCAATTTGCAGGGATAGAACAGTCATTTCCTTCCTGTCCTGATGAGTCTGCTTCCAGCAATTTCAGTAGCCAGATCTAAATTTCTCCTGCTGGGAAGTTCAGACAAATAAAGCAAATCCAGCCATGAGATGTTTGGGCGTGCAGAAGTATAGAATTAGTACAGTGATTAGAGGATGGCTCCTTTCCTCCCCTGGTGGGAATTTAATTTTTTTTTATTTTTATTTTTTGTGACAGAGTCTCACTCTGTCGCCCAGGCTGGAGTGCAGTGGTGCAATCTTGGCTCACTGCAACTTCCGCTCACTGAAACCTCCGTCTGCCAAGATCAAGTGATTCTCCTACTTCAGCCTCCTGAGTAGCTGGGATTACCAGAGTCCATCACCACACCCCACTAATTTTTTATTTTTAGTACAGATGGGTTTTCACCATTTTGGCCAGACTGGTCTTGAACTCCTGACCTCCAATGATCCACTGGGCTCAAGCCTCCCAAAGTGCTGGCATTAAGGCGTGAGCCACCACGCTCGGCCAGAATTCAAATATTAAATGATGCCTGCTCAGGGAATCAGGCTCTGAGAGACAAGGATGCCTTCCTGTTCCAGTCTAAATGCCTGTTCCTAAACTGTACACTTCTGCTATCTAAGGTTTTTCATGGACTCTCCTTGCCTTCATCCTCTTCTTCCTCTCTCTCACCAAGAAATTAGCACGCATCCTCCTGACCTAGGTGCTCCAGGGGCAAAACAAGCAACACCTGTTGTGTTTAGTTCCCCACATACATCCTTGACAGCCTCTGCTCAAAAGGCATGTTGTATATGAGAGCCTTGTTGAGAGTCCTTTGAGAACTCCTAAAATGCCATATCTTTTGAAATGTGGCCAACATTTTTTAGTACCCCCTCATGCAGACACTTACATTTTCTCAATTACTCTCACAAAAACTCTTTAAGATGTTTACCATCTTTCAGAAAAGTTGGGTAACATACCCGGGGTGATCCCGTTAAGAATTCATTTAAATCAATGCCTGAGATTCACTCTGGTTGGCCACCCATTCTCTTTTCCTTTGATCCATGGGTTTTAAAAGGAACCCTTGACATTCAGGGGCACAATTGATTACATACATGCTTATGTACACTTTTCCCACAAAAAGAAGATTCATGGTTCTCAACAGATTTCTTTCATACTGGGTCCTCGACCCAGAAAAAGTTAAGAATAATTACTTTAAATAGAAAGTGACTCTATGTAGTAAAACAAAGAGTGGAAGTTATAGGAATCTTAAGCAAATCATCTTTATCCTCTCTGGGACTTAGTTTTCTGAAAATAAAAGGCTGAACTAACGAATCCTAAGATCCCTTCCAACTTTAACATTTTCTAACTTTATGTTAAAGTACACATATGTGTATGTATTTGTACACAAAATACATACATACACACACACACACACACACACCCAATATGCTAACAAATAGCCATTGTGAGATCTAACCCTTCAGGACAGAAAATTCTAAAAACATATCGTATTTTCTAAAACATGGTTCGTTGCCCTAGGGCAGGCGTCCCCAAACTTTTTACACAGGGGGCCAGTTCACTGTCCCTCAGACTGTGGGAGGGCCGCCACATACTGTGCTCCTCTCACTGACCACCAATGAAAGAGGTGCCCCTTCCTGAAGCGCGGTGGGGGGCCAGATAAATGGCCTAAGGGGGCCGCATGTGGCCCTCGGGCCGTAGTTTGGGGGTGTCTACCCTAGGGTTTTTGTTTTCATGGTGGTTGTTTGACAGCTATTCACATCTTTCTTCATCATGGCAAGCTCCTCTCAAGCAAGTCAGAGAGATCATACTTTTATGGCAGGTATTTTTTTCTCACATATTCATTCATTCATTCTAACCATACTTATTGAGCATCTACTTTATTCTAGGTCCTGTGGGTTCAGAGCCTCTGCCTCAAGGACTGTACAGTTTAGTGAGGGAGACAGATAAGAAGCAGGCAATAACAATACTGCCTATGAAAGCATAAAGTTCTGGGAACTGCAGGAGTGTGCAGGAAGGACAACCAACTGTTCCCCTGGGGTTCAGAAAAAGGTTTCCTGAAGAAATGTCAAATTTGCTGCCACATCCAACTTTGTTGCCCTACCCTGTGCTCAGCCTGGAGTGCCAGCTATGGTAGATGGAGCTGTGGTGGACACCTTCCCCTGGCTGAGCCATGACAGTATTTGAAACTGAGCTTGAAGAATGAGTCAGTCAGCTGGCATTGAATGATGAGATTATAGACTGTGGTGGCCCAAATTAGAACTATGGCACCAAAACCCATGGTGCCAAAGTCATCAGGAAGTAAGTTCTAAGACCTTTGCCAAGCAAGCTGGTCTGTAAAGAGGAGATCAGCCAGCCATGTAGACAGAAATGAGATTCCCGAAGACCTAAAGGACTTATTTGACATCCCCAATGGGCGTATCTAACCAATATCTCAAACTTGATTTTTATGCACCAAGTCTCCTCTCTCCCAAGGTTACCCATCAGGATAATGACATCACCAATCATCTTTTTGCTCAGGTCCAAACCTAGGAGCATCGTTAATTCCTCCTTTTGCTCATACCACATATCTACACCATCAGCCGGTTCTATTAGCTTTACTTGGGCCTGAGCCAAGCCATATCAGAGCCCAAAGCAAAAGAAAAACTGTGTATCCCTAAATATTTTTGGAACCAAACAGAAAAAGTTAAGCTCTACAATGAAAAAGCATGACTATATATAAAGCACCGTAATGCCCAATCAGTTCTCCTATGATTGTCAACCCTCATAAGGGTGCCACTGTGGGAATATGATAACCAAGTAGCCTTGGAACTTAGCACAGGTTGGAAACAACAGTTCTTGTTACACAATGATGCAGGGTCATAAAACAAACAACAACCTGTCTTGGTTTTGTTTTTGTTTCTTTGGATTTTTTTCATACATTTTGAATCTAGTAAGAGCAACAAAGAACCAATACTTGTGTACTCCGTACTATGTGCCACGCCCTGTTCTAAGCTATTTGTGTGCATTAGCTGACTTACTCCTCTCAGTCGAACTAAACTATACCATTGTTGTGCCTATTTTACCGACAGAGGCACTGAGGCACTTGTAAGTAAGGTAATTTTCCAGGACCACACAGAGAAATCATTGCAGGACTGAAATTCTAACCCAAGAAGTCTGACTAACTCCAGAACAAACAAGGTAAAATCAACTGGACTTGGTGAGCAATTGGCTATGGAACAAGAGAGAGAGTAAAGAATGCTCTCAGGAGTCTGGTTTGGCAGCTGAGTGGAGAGTGTGCCATTCACTAAGACTGGAAAGAAAGGTTGGGGACGAGTACAGGTTTATGGAAATTTTATAGATCATATGGGAAACCCATTTATGAACAGTTTATGGGTTCAATTGGAGGATTTTCATATTTGAGATGCCAAGGACCTTATGGTAGAGATGTCCAGTTTCAATGTGCTTTGCAGTCAGACAACAGATACTTCATGAAGACAGTATATGGGAGTCACCAAGTTTGGTGATTAGAGTCCTGGGCACAGCTGAATAACCCAGAACAGTTATTAGCATGTCCACAGGAAGAAAATCTAGTTAAATAAGAAACAAAATCCCTAAACAACTTATAGTTATCTATTCTTCTTAGGCATAAGGTCATTTGTACCAGTCTTAACAGGGCAGATTTTAGCTCAAGAGAAACATGGTTGGGCTGCCACTTTAAAACAAAACACCTAATTAACCCACCACCACAACAGTTGGACTGAAAAAAAAAATCACCCAATCCTTTAGAAGCCAACAATTGGTTCCATTAAACCATTCAAACTATATTTTCCAGGAATGTTTTAAGACCTTTATAGGCTTAAGCATCATAGCAAACATATCAAAATCCAGCACCATCAGAAATATATGTTTTTTGGCTACACATGATAGCTCACATCTGTAATCCAGCACTTCGGGAGGCCAAGACAGGAAGATTGCTTGAGCCCAGGAGGTCAAGGCTGCAGGAAGCCATGATCACATCACTGCACTCCAGCACAGGTGACAGGATAAGACTCTGTAAAAATAATA